GAAGTAGAATTACAGGTCAAGGAAGAAATTGTAAGGCTTGTTAAAGCCAAATTTATTAGGCCAGCAAGATATGTGGAGTGGCTTTCTAATATTGTACCTGTAAAGAAGAAAACGGGAGCAATAAGAATTTGTGTTGATTTTCGTAACCTTAATCTTGCAACTCCCAAAGATGAATATCCCATGCCTATGGCAGACCTCTTGGTTGATGGGGCGGCCAAGCATGAAATTTTATCCTTCATGGATGGACACTCCGGCTATAATCAAATTTTCATAGCTGAAGAAGATATTCACAAGACAGCCTTTAGATGTCCTGGTTCCATTGGAACCTTTGAGTATGTCGTGATGCCTTTCGGCCTAAAGAATGCCGGAGCCACATATCAACGGGCAATGAATGCCATCTTCCATGACATGATCGGTCGAAACTTAGAAGTTTATATCGACGATGTGGTTGTGAAGTCGGAATCAAGACCAGGTCATTTGGACGACCTTCGGTTAGCCTTCGAGAGAATGCGAAAGCATCTATTGAAGATGAATCCAAAGAAATGTGCCTTTGGGGTTTCTGCCGGGAATTTCCTAGGATTTTTGGTACATCAAAGGGGGATCGAAATTGATAAAAATAAGGCTAAGGCCATCATTGAGGCGCCGCCCCCGAAAAACAAGAAAGGATTGCGAAGTTTGCTAGGCCAAATAAATTTCCTCCGGAGGTTTATAGCTAATTCCGCCGAGAAAGTCGAGCCTTTTTCATCTTTACTGAAACTCAAGGATGATGAGAAATTTCGATGGGAAGAAGTTCATCAAAAGGCATTTGATTCCATCAAAGAGTATTTGACCAAGCCATCGGTGCTAATCCCGCCGAAGCGAGGCCGACCTTTGAAGTTATATATTTCGGCTGCAGAGAATTCCATCGGAAGTCTTTTGGCCCAAGACAATGACGAGAAAAAGGAGCAAGCACTGTACTACCTAAGCCGAATTCTAACGGCCACCGAGAGAAAGTATTCACCGGTGGAGAAACTTTGCTTAGCCTTATACTTCACCGCAACCAAGTTAAGGCACTATATGTTGCCTTCCGTAGTGCATATAATCGCCAAGACTGATTTGATCAAGTATATGCTCACTCGCCCGATTATTAGAGGGCGGATTGGAAAATGGACGATGGCATTGGCAGAATTTACCTTCCGATACGTGCCTCAGCAGGCCGTCAAGGGGCAAGC